TTGGTGGCTTGTGGTTTCGTTTGAGCGCCCGTTGTCGGCTGGCCTCTTCTTCCTTCTCGTGCCAGGAGGTCATGAACCTCTCAGCTCCCTGCAGCACCGCCGCATGCCAGGGTACTCCCCCCTCTACCTTCGCGGCTTCCGTCCACTTTAACTTCGTCGCCGTGTCTTTCGGTACCGGGATTCCGAGAAAGCATGGATCGGTTTTCGTGGATCCGTGGTCGGCCCCGAATGCCTTCAAGTCGTCGAGCACACACTTCGGCCAGTTCTGTTCCTGTAGTTGTTGTTGTTATTGTTTCTCACATTAGCTCTATAGTCCACAAAAAAAGGGGACCCCGTGGTCTCAAAACCCGGCACATACGACGCCGCGGGGAAAAAAAACAAAAAGGTTACAAACCACTCGGAAAAAGAAAACAAAATGATAGAAAGAAAAAAACAGGTATCGCACCGACCGTCCGAGAAAAGAGCCCTCGGAAACCGATCAAAATAAAACAAAAACGAAAATATAGGAGGACGCTTTCCACACCCGCCAAAAGAAAAATTCAAAGAGTAACGTACCAGCACCAGGCACTACGCACCAGGGCACGGGAGTACCGGAGCAAACAGGACAAAGAGGCGAGAGATGGGCAGACAGCCAGATGATGTATAAAAACAAAGGCAACAGCAAAGCGAGATCAAGGTACCCAATACAGCAGAGTAGGCAGGGAGGTCATGAAAAAAAGCAACACAGCACAGAGGCCGAAGGCAATACAAAGGACATACATAAAGGAGTATAGCATACAGCAGGGAGGGAAACCGGGCGCAACAACATCAGCCGGGTACATAGTTCGCCACAAGTGCTGCCTCGGCCGCCCTACTCGCTTCTACAGCAGTGCCCGGTCGCCGTTTCTCCCCCCCCACCGCCGCTTCCCCGGCTCTCTTTCTCTTCGGTCCTGAGATGGCCGTACTCTCTGCTTCTGCTTCCCACGCGCGGTGGCGCTTCGCGGACACTTCCGCCTCCTGCCTGTGCCATTTCCTCATGAACCATGCCGCCCCGTCCTCGACCTTGTTGTCCCACACCTCCGGATCCTTGGCGCTCTCTTTCCATTTACCCCCTTCCTTTTCGTCTCCCATGTTGAAGGCCACGAGGTCCTCTCCTAGACGAGACACCCAGTCGCTCTCCTGCCAGCCCCGGTATCCCACGCCCCCCGCCATCGCTCCTGGCAGCATGCGCTTGGGGAGGCGGCTGTCCTCCATGGGCATAACAAAGCCCGCCAAACGCAGTCTCCGTTTGCGCATGGTGGCCTCGATGTTTTCCTCGCAGCCTGCCTGGATGAGGGCCTGGGCATAGGACAGGGGGCGGTCTGAGCGTTTCCGCTTGCTCCAGCCGATGCACCGTGTAAGGAACTGGCGGTGGGTCCCATTGAGCTTCGTGTAGTGCTCCGCTGTTAGGCTCCACGAGGCGCACCCGTAAAGGAGAGTCTCCACCACTTCAGCCTGGAGTAGCCGGATCTTGACCTGGCAGTTGGCCCGTCGCCTGTCGTACATCGAAGCACTGTTCCGGCGGTAGCACTTCCACGCTCGGTAGCTGCGGCTCGTGATCTCCCGGTCGGCCTTCCCGTCCGCGGAGATGGTACGTCCGAGGTACACAAACCGATCTGTCTGCTTGTACGTCTGGCCGGCGGCGCTGACCGTGAACGGGCGTTCCTCGATCCCTTTCGGCAGCATGCACATGATCTCCGTCTT